CCCCACCCCACCCCCACCACACCCAGCAATTGATCAGGCTGCCCTAAAAACAATTCACTGGTATTTGCTTACTTTTGTTTGGTGAAGAGACTTTTTCTGAAAGTAAACTATCTAGCCCACATGCAAGAGTGCAACCCACAAATTTTCATATGAGTCCAGCATTAGGTTCCTATATCTTTCAAACTGTCATCCCAAATTTTCATATGGAGTCCACCATAAGGTTTCCACATCTTTCAAATTGTCATCAAGACTTCTGACGACCCTTTGTATTGCATGTGCACTTAAGATCTAATGTAGGTTTGTCCACTAAACATACTTTTAGTTTCCCATTTCAGAAAGGCAGAAATCACAAATCATGGCAAATAAAAAGATATTCCTACCTAAGGCTCTCGCTGATGGTCACTGTTTTGTCATCAGGACACTCTTCAGAGCTCACAGTCACCAAAACTGGGCTGGGTGTCTTGCTTTGCTTTAAGTGTTGGTCAAGTGTGACTCTCAATGTGGGTGTGTCAGCTGTGGAGACAACGTCTGCATTCTTAATGCTCAAATCACTACCATCTTGCTTTGCTTGTGATGGTGAAACTGGGTGGGGAGTGTCGGTCTTCTTTTCAGCATCATGACAAGTCTTAATTTCACTTTTGGACTTTGCATTATCTGATGGTAATTCCAGGACTGGATTGTAGACACCATCTCCTCCATTGTCCTTCGCCAGCAGTTTTTGCTGAGGTTGGCTTTCATTGTCTGAATTAGCTGATTTGACAAACAAAACTGGGCATGTTTCAGTTGATGGTGAGGTCTGTGTTTCCGTGGTGACCATAGTTCCCTTGGAAGAGTTCATCCCCTCACACAAATCAAGCACTGGGGTTTTTATCCTTTCCTTCGTTTCTGACTGACTCTTGTTGCATGATTCCTTGTATTCAGTTTCTTCACTTGGACATGCAGCTGCAGAACTGGGAACAGTAATGTTGCTCAAAGGTACACTGTAAATACTTCCCAGGCCACTGTCAATTGGGGTCATGTGGCTTTCTGCCATGCTTGCATTGGCATCATCATCTGATATTAGTCGATGTTTGATTGGTGCACCAGAGAGGAAGTTAATCACATCTGTGAGTTCTTCTTGTGAAGCCAGAGACAATTCACTCTGACAGTCTAAAAATAACGTTTTGGCCATAAATATGAAATGTTGTCAAACTCCATCAATTGAAAAAATTACATGCAACAATTAATAGCTTTGGGAATGGAGTATAATATTGTCAAGCACATATAGTTAAGAATAAAAGGATTGGTCTGCATATTGAGTTTCACATCTCTCACCTTCGTGATTAAGCTGTTGATTTGGGCATGTTATTCATCTTTGATTATGGAATTTTTGAAACAGAATCCAAATTTTTTTCTGTTGGCAAGTGGAATTTGCTTTCCCTCCAGGACTACTTTAAGCCTTTCCCCCAATAAACATGCATTTTCTCTCCTCACTACACTTTTACAGAGTTTTCAGACTGATTTTTTGTTGTTACTGATAAAGTTGTATTTATTTTGTTACTGATAAAGTTGTATTTATTTTGTCCAATGTCCAAGACTAAAACAAGAATAAGTACAAAGAGCAGTTAGATGCATGGGAACATCTACAGATTTTCTTTCAAGAAGATGCACAATAACAAAAAGTAGAAAAAGACCCTGAAGTCTTTTTTGCAAACTGTCAAGCAAGGCTTTTTAGCAACTCAATCCTCCACTATTTTGCACCTTCTCACAACTTACGATTCATTGCTCATGAATTCTACTTACATGGCACCGTACTTTTAAAGGTTGGCAGAGGAAACTGTGGAACAGACTTTGACCAATCACTTGGTGACAAAGGATCATCAGCCTTATTTGGCTCTTCAACAATCTTTCCTGAGGTGGAACTGCTACTTTCAGGAGCCATAGATTGTTCCTTAGCCCTCCTTGCCCAGCGACGTGGGCGTGGTGGGGGAAGAGGGGCTGGGTCATCAATGTCTGTGTCATGTTCCTCTCCTGTGTCAGTGCTGGATGCAACAGACGTTCGGTAACCTGAAATCAAGGGCGATATACAATCAAATTAAATTATGTTGTGAGTAAAGATAAAAAACTGCATGTACAAACCTAAGTTTTAACTTAACGATACTTATGAGATGACCCTAAGCAATCTGGCATTTTAATTGTTTTGTTCCAAAATGGTTAATAAACTTTGTTTACTGTTTAATTTCAGTGGTATAAAAACTCTAAACAAAAACTAAAATTCCACTTTTAAATCGCAATTCATTTAGCTATGACCAAATACATTTCATATCACAACAATACACAGAGCTAATATTCATCCACGAACAAAGATATTTTTTAATGAAAAAACCAAATAACCTCATTCCAAATATTATTCACTTGTCTAATAAAGAAGATCACAAAAGCAAATGAATTTGTTTACTAGCCTCTGCTAACTATAAATTATTTTTTTCTTGAACGTATCATCAAAATCAACATTCCAAATCCCATAAATTAGGAAAAAGTGGACAAGAAACACCACCCAGTGGAATGTCCATTGCTAAATTTCCTATTTTTTTATTTCCTATTTTCCTATTTCCTATTTTCCTATTTCCTATTTCCTATTTGCTATTTTCCTATTTCCTATTTCCTATTTCCTACTTCCTACTTCCTATTTGCTATTTGCTATTTGCTATTTGCTATTTGCTATTTGCTATTTGCTATTTTCCTATTTTTCCTATTTTCTATTTTCCTACTCAATAATATTGTTTTATTTATGCACAGTATACCTGACAACTCCTGCTTGGCCCCAGACAGAACATTTTGATTACTTGCATCTACCACAGCATTCAGACTATTGACTGCTTTGGATGTCACAGACTTCCGAGAAAATATCTTGGATGTGGCTTTAGTAAAGGTCTTTCTGAAGCTCTTGTGCTTATGATTTGGTGATATATCAAGTTTGGTCAACAAGGGTGGAGACTTGGAAAGGTTACGACGCTTTATGTGAATTGCAGGCAAAGGCCTTTCTCTGTAAACAACAACAATGACATCAATCCAGGAGAGAGAAATTCACTTTTTGTTTCTCTTCTTGGAAACACCACAAGAGTACTGATATTTAATAAACATCTTGTTGAGGAGATTATTATAAATGACAAACAAAACAAAAACAAAGCAAATCAAAACAAATACTGAATTGAACAATTTAAAAAAAAAACAACACACAACAAGTAAAACCAAACAACAAAAACAAGAGACCTTACAGAGGTAGACTTGCAAGAAAACATTTCGGTAAAAGAGTAACTTAAAGAAACAAAAAATGTGCCTTTCCAAGTACTGACTACAAACAAATCACAGTGGAGTTTCAACCTTCATAGAGTGATGTAGAGATGATGCATATTTAAATTCTCCCTATCTTTCATCATGACCCTTACAATACTTTGATGTCTACTACCTAAAATTAATTGTAACTCACTTGTCCTCCAGATAATCCATCAAACTAAACTTAGATGTGTAAACAGCATCGACTGTTCCCAGAGGACAGGGGAAGTCCAATTCCTTAGACAGGCAAGCAAAGGTGGAGGAATCTTCTGTGATTATCCTAAAATAATGAAATATTGCAAAACCATTTCATTGTTTAGAACTCTCAAGATCTTGTGACAAATTCTCCTTCCTGCTGCTATAGATTCAATAGCGACAAAATTATTTGATAAAAAAAAAATGTTGTTATACAAAGTCTAGTAAAAATATCATTTTTCCTTTCCTTGGCCAGTTGTATAGTGGACAGATAATGCTATCCAAAGGATAAAACGCTATCCAGCAAATAAGTGATAGCAAACCGTACTGCACTATCCACCGGATCGAGATTTGTCCAGATCATGTTTAGCAGTTAAAAAAAATGAATATAGTGAATATTGTGTTTCAAATCAAATATCTACATACCATGTGGTAGAGACCTCTACATGAATGGATGTTCCTTTTACATACACTTGGGCCAGCCGAGTGTTTTTCTCTTTGCTTGGTTTAGCTGTTACCTTAAATTGTTAAGATAAAAGAAGAATGCCAAGCAGTTAGATAACTGTACAGAGGTTGTCTTTGTGGCATCTTTTCAAATACATTCTGAATGCCTAAAACAGAGCCAAAAAAAAAAAAAGAATTTAACCTACAGCAACTGTACATGGTTTTACTAATTCTCATACCATTATTTAAATGGTTAAAATCTATTGGCTAAGTCAGGTCACTTAATATAAGGCTTCATAACTAACACTTTTGGCCTAATTTTTTTTTGACTTTGTGTTTTGGTTATTGGCAAACATACATTTCTCTATGTTCTTCCTTTTGGAATACAGAGTTTGTAACTTAACCAGTCAAGAAGTGTCAACAAAACAACAACAGTTGCAGAGACTCCAGAATGTTTTCTTACCAAATGCGCTCTCCCAAACAGAAGCTGTACAGCTGTTTTGGCAGCAGAACTGCATGCTGGAGAATAGGCTTCATACAGCACCATCAGCACAAACATATCCAAGGTGTCACGATTAAGGGGAATGTCATTCTGCTTTGCCACAGAACTAACCAGGTCTCTGATACAGTGCTGTTTCGGTTGAAATAGAACCTCACTAAGTGACACAAAAGGTTATGTGGTATAAAGAAAATGGCTGCTTGTAATAACTGTCTGGTTACACATCTACACATCATCAATTTATTACAAGTTAGTTACCAGCTTAGATTTGTAGTTGTCATTGGCTTTACTTGGAGAGAAACAAACTTCTGTCAACACATGGCCTGAGAGAAAGAAGAAGACGACAAATTAATTTTCCCTGCAATCCCTATGATCACTCCTTTTAAAATAACATGTTTCTTACCCATAGAAATTGGCTCAGAAAGGCCACAACCTATTTAGCAGAATAATTTAGAAGTTAAGAATAGATTAATTTAATGGTATTATGCACTTTTTGCAGGATGAGAACAGATGATCTTGATGATGAAGAAAATGATGAAAAGTTAACATGAATTGCTTTTGCTTAACCCTTTAACTCCTATGATCTGATTGTTCATTCTCCCCACTGCCTCCTCCATATTTCCTTGTCAATTAGTTATAAAGAATTTGCTGTTAGATCAGGATAACAACTAATTCATATTTGATCTTGGATTTACAATACAGAATTGAAATGCTGTCAATCCCATGCCTCATCTAATAAAAATTCTTAATGAACATGATCAAACTTAAGAAAGACAAGCAAAAACCAACGATAAAAACTGACGTTTCGGTGTCATCATATTATACTTAAGTATTTGTATAATTAGCTCCTAACATATTTATGCTAATTGAGTGTTACACCTTGCCTCAAACTTTATAATTTTTACTTCTCCTTGACAATGGCCCCATGATGACACCCAAACGTCGGTTTTTATCGTTGGTTTTTGCTTGTCTTTGCATTTCCAAATCTTTATTGATAACAAACTTAAGAAAACATGTATATTAATCTCTATCTCTCACCAATTTTTAGTTGGAATTTTAGAATTTGCTTCAGAATCTGTTGCTCCATTTCTTGAGCAGTAACAGCTTCTGTGACACCACCAGCAGCCATAGCTTCCACCTCACTACAGCAACCCTGTTAAAAATCATGACCAGTATTTCTAATTCTTTAAATGTCCTGCAGCTTCTAATTTCTGAGTTTACAGTGTCTTGGAGCTAAATAACTCTTCTCTTGGTTACTTAGACCCAAAAGAATCAGACTCAATTCTGATCAGTTCATTTGTTTTCATGTTGTGGAGCATTTCATCACAATCCAGATATGATGTTTACAAAACTGAACAATGCACTAACATTTGTTTACTGGAAACTCTGTCTTGCCATGATAATATTCAAACAATAATCATCTCCCTCCTACCGTGATAAAACACTAGTTTCTGAATCAGAAATATTGAGCATGTTTTTGTGGCCAAAATTTGGCACTTTAGACAGCCAGATCTGCTGGTATATTCTATTACATTTGATGATGTTACATACCTTTAGAGCCAGCTCTATTCCTCTGGGATTCCTGTGGAAGCCAGCAGGTATGTCTGCTTCTGGTGTAGGAGCTTGATCAAACACCTTTTTGTAATTCTACAAACAAGACCCACAAACAAAATTAATAGACTCCTTTTTCCCCCAATTTGCTGGAAAGGCACGGCATAGAAAACGAGCTTTTACAGTATAAGAATCAAAATTCAAATATGAAGTGTGGTCACAGCTCTGTAAATACTGACGTTTGCCCATACTAAGGAAATAGGGTTCATAGTTCTGTCTCAAGAAGCGTCATAATTTAACATTTATTTTGCCTAAAAATGTTTTTTATACCTTTTTTTACCTAAAAAAAAAAATGATATACAACATTAAATTACCAAGTACAGATGTGACTTATTTCATTTTCTTCCTATATATTAAGGTTAATCTGCACTTCTATCTTTAACTAAAGTCAAATCTGTGAATACCCTAATTTTTTCTTATAAAGAGCAAACACATTCTCTGTATGGTAAAAAGCACAGTGCAGAGTTTTTACCTTGAGCAAATTGTTGACTTTCAGAATTAGTTCTTTCATCTCTGGATCAGCCAGTTCTCCTTGAGCACCCAATGTTAAGAATTGCAACTGTTCCCGACTCAACATCTCTCCTTGACGCAAAGCTTGGTTTGACTGCAAGGAAAAGCTTTATTTTGTACCAGCTGCAATAATAATAAGTATTGCCTACAGGTACATTTTATAGATTCAATTTTAACTTATTGCCAACACAAAAAAGGGAAAATACATTTAGCTTGCACTGAGAATTTTTGATGCGGTATTAACTTGGTAAACGTTAAGTCTGCACTTGAGCAAAGTGACCCATGACACTGATCTGTATCCCAGCTTCACTGACATAATACATGATAATTTATGACAAGGAAAGTTGCTACTCCCCAAACATCTAATCTCCATGAAATGATATAGCATTTCACCCGGATACCTTGTCTGTTTGCTGGTAGTCACAACCAAACTCTTGGTGAAGAGAGAGGAGCTGTTAGAGTAAAGTAACATATATGCATGCCCCTCAAGAAAACATAGAAATTATCAAACCCCTTTCCCCTTTTCTTTATCTCCTCCTCTCCTCCTCTCCTCCCCTCTTCTCCTCCTCTCCTCCCCTCCCCTCTCCTCCCCTCCTCTCCTCCTCCCCTTCTCTCCTCCTCTCCTCCTCTCTTCCCCTTTCCTGGTGACTTGAACCTAACCCTCTTAATCAGGAGTCCACCATACAAACTCTTGAGGCATGGCTCCCCCCCCCCTTCATGTATTGCATGTATTGATTTAAGACTTACTGGAATTTGATGAGATACATTGTAACAGTTGTGAGTATGAGTCAGAATGCTAATTAAATGGATAGAGTGATAAGGGACATTTACTAAGTGCTTTCCTGGAGGGACAAGATGTACAGGTTAACAACATGAGTCACACTAGTGCAATGATGATAACAACTACAAAAATTACAACAAAAGCCAAGGTAGTGGTGGTAATGGTCAACGACACACTCTCTGTGATAGCAATCATTGTTTTCACAATTATCATTATTATTGTTAGTTATCTTCTAGACACATATCAAGTACAAATGAATAAAGGCTGAAAGTTTCTAAAGAAACTGTGGTGCTGCGTCAGTGGGGGTAACAAGGTAATTTGGTTGTATCAACTAGGTTGAAATTGTAAATTGGCCACCATAACGAATAAAAAAGCTGACGTTTTGAGTGTCAGCCCTTCATCACAGTCTGACAAAGGGCTAACACTCAAAATGTCAGCTTTTTTATTCGTTACGGTGGCCAATTTACAATTTCAACTTAACTGATACAACCAAAATACATATCAAGTACAGTGAACCAATGAGAAAAATAAATTCTGAAAGCTACAGATTTCAGAAACACCTTCAATATTGTGTTCTTTTTCATCCTCAGTTTACATTTATTTAATCAATAAAAAAGGTTGACTTTTCAAACATACTTGGGCAAGTGACAGCCATGTTGCTGTGGCATCTTTGAGAGCCAGGGTGACTTCTCTGTCCCGCAGATAGTCACCAATCTCATGGAACCCCCCCAACGATGTCGTCAGATCAGCTGATGATGACAAGAACTGAGACTGCACTTGAAGGAGTGAAAGGAAACAAGATCCTAACATCTAGAAAAGAGGAATAAAATCAGAGTTGACATAACTGTAGTATGGAAAAGAGTAAATTCTGCTCTGACTTCTTACTGGGGTCACACAAGGTAGAGTGATAAAGGACTCAAATGCAAATGCAAATGGTTACCTGTGGAATCTGGTGACTAGTAGCCTAGACCGCAATGTTATTAACCTGCAGTGTACGTTCGGCACATGTGCAGAGACAGTTAAAAAACATGTGCTCAAGTGCATGAGAGAACTGCCATGTCGAAACTTGTACTCGCTATGTACTCGTTGTGTTGTTTTACTAAGCGTGGCCGCCCCGTTTTATTCTGTCACTGTTAGAAGTTTCTGATTAAGTATCTGTTGATTAAAGTCGATTAATTCAGCCTTGTGGTTTACACATTACCCTTGATTTATTTGATGTTTTCAGCAAGAAATATATATATAATGTCATTGTTGAAAGAGCCTGAAAAGCAGTTCTACGTGTACAACACAACTTTCCAAAGTAGTGAAAATCAAACTTTTAATGTGATAATTATAAACCTTTGAAAAACAAACCAAAAAAAAAAAAACTTCTGTAATGTTGCTAGGATGTAAACAGGAACACAATTTTAAAAATTAAGGCATTTGTGTAAAACTCTTCAAAAGAACAGTAACTGCATCAAAAAGCAGACTGCAATTTACTCCAAATTTAAACGACTGGTTGGCTCACCAATCCTGAAATTAAGAAGATAAAAGCATTCAACCCTGTTGGCTTTTTAAGATTTTTCTCACTTCCCACAAGTTTGACTCCTTACTTTCAAGCCCTTTGCACATGGAATACAGATTTGCTCTATGGCTTTTAAAAGTTTTATGTTTATTCAGAATACTTGTTACTGGTGTACTGGAATTTTTTTAACAAGTATATTGATCTAAAAAGTAAGTCTCACTAGGAAAGGTCAGTCAAAATATTTATTTCTTTTTTATTGATATCCTGGGCTTTTTCACCAGTTCATTGTCATATAAAAGTCACCTTTCTTAGTTTCTGCAGTAGGAAATCATATAGGATATGGGATCAACCAGACATTTTCTGAGTTACCTCACTAGAGAGCCCCCAGAAAGGTAGAGGTTATTGATTTCCACGGTTTTCAGAAGAAGAATATTTTTGGGAGAGGGGAACCTATCAGAAAGGAAGCTTTTTTCAAACACTCACTGACAAGAGACAAAATGCTGGCCATTACATTTCTTCTAACTATTGCTTCTAACTATTGCCCATTATTGTATTCAGTATGATACTTTATGGAAACTATACAATATTGTAATGGACTGTTGTGTGACATAGTGCCCAAATATGGTAGCTCCATATTTGGGGCATGCCATGTGGTCGAGAGCAAAGCAGATTGTAAGTGCGTGTGGCTCGCCGATGATACTAAAATCTGAAAAATCAAGTGTTCTTCGCATTCTGTGTTAGCAAACCCAGGTTACAGTAACAATATTAAAGACGAAAGCTGATAAAGGCTTTGGTGTTAAGGCACCCTTGACCAAGTGAACAATGATTTTAACTACCCCCCCCACCTGTTTATGGGAAGGGATTGGCTGGAAAGCATAATCCTGAGGGAACCCATTAAAAACATGATGCTCTAGACATGGTTAATTAGATAGGGGGTAGCTTATCAGAGCATTCACAGCAAATAAACCCAGGAATTTTAGACCACTTATTCTAATAATGACAGTCAGTGGTCTACCGCAAATTGACATGAGCAGAATCTGAGATATGACAATAAAATACATTCAAAATTGAAGCACACAATGTGTGCTTCAATTTTGAATGTATTTTAGAAGGTATGATAAACTCTGACTCTGTAAACAAAACTGAACTGTCTACTATCCATTAACACTGGAAACTTTTTAAATTTTATTATTTTTTCTAAATGAATGTATATACTGAAACAAGGACCCAGGAAATAGTGAGCTCATTCTGGCTTTCCCTTTCCTGTTTCTTTTATCTCTTCACAGCAGAATCAAATGCATCTATAGCTATCAGTCAACCGATGCCCTACTTGTCAATTTTTCCATAAACTCAAGACCTCAAGCAACTTTTAATAACTGTGCTTAAATGGAGTATGGACCACAGGGGTAAAAGCCTTCCTGTTTAAAAGGAAACAAATGTAAGTGAAGTACGGTTTCATCGATTTACATACACAGAGTAAGTGTTTAATTAGTAGCCAGGTAGAAGCTTCTAGAACCACAGTTTACTGAAGAAGATTTTTTAGTTCTGCTTTGAAAAGAAAATAATGAAAATTTATGTACTTTTGCAGCTATCAATCACTGTCAAAAAAATTCTCCCCAGACAATGAACTCTGGTCATATGAGGTGGCAGGTTAGTGGAAACACCGGTTGCTTTTAAATAATCAACAAAAAAAGGTATGAACAATTAACCTTGAATTTGCATTCAGAATTATGAAAATTACTTTCCACAAAGTGTGTTCTATGAATATTTATTTAGAGCAGAATAACAAAAATTACGTCTTGAAAAAACATTTTTCAAATTCAAGCATATTTATCAGATTTGAATGATAAAGCTTGTACACGAGAAGGGGCGAGTAAAATCACGGAATGCTAAAGAAGGGGAGTTGATCTTAAGTTTTTGATTTCACTCACACCCATTTAAATAAAAACAAACCAGGTGAAGAAAGAAAAATTCTCACCACGAAAGAAATTAACTAAAGTATTTGAATAAAGTTATGCATCTTGCTAGATGTATCAAATACGCTTGGAACTGTGAAAATGTGTTCAATTTAGCACGAAGGACATTTCAAAAGATCGAAAACTCTGATTTTTATTTCATTTGGTGGAGTAAACGTTTTTAAAACGTTCTGTTTCTAAATTGTCAAGGGCAAGAATTGATTTTCAAAGCGAAAAACGCCATTTAACAGCTGAAAATCCTCTTCAGCCCCAGGATCACGACAAAAATTTTGTTTTCGTTCTTTACAGCTGATCGACGACTACTCTTGTTTACATTTAACGAATTCCAAGAACATCTCTGCATTACCCTTGAAAATTTCTCCGGTGCACTAGTTCCCTAGTCGCTCTGAGTTTTCAGTATATGATCTGTGATTTTCATCTGATGCGCTTTCTGGCTGTGAATCCACAGTTGGAGCTATTTTGGGACCATGACAAAATAATTTCACGAGGGCATTTGTTGGTTTGGCCTTGTGACAAAAAAATCCATTAATCCACTCAAGCAAAGCAAGAAGATAGCTAGGTAAAGGTTAAACCTGTTCAAATTCATCCAGTTATAATAATGTCTAAAGAGTTTAATCCGTCCGACAGATATTTATAACTTCAACCAGTTCATTTGGACCGAAACAAACAATAAGAGTAAACTGAAGATGATTAAAGCAAGTCTTGGTGCGTATGAATCCCTCCGCATTGCAGATTCTTTCGGCGTGTCTGTAATCAATGAATCAACATATCATGCCAAATCGAAATAGAACATTCTAGTGTCAAAAACAACATACCTTCACTCGATTTTCCTCCACTTCTGAAAAGCTTCTGTACAATTTCTCCTCTTCATTCGTAAGTTCTTCGGTCGCAGCACGGAATCTTTGTCTGGTTGTTTTGAGTCGCTTTCCGTCACTGTTTACAAAGCTATCGTCTCGCTCTAACCACTCCAAGTTTTCTTGACACGATTCGTAATTCTGAACACTTCTCTTATGCGCTTCAATGGCTCGCCTTAGACCAGGCAAAGTAGCCGTGAACTCGCAAAGCGTTCCCAAAATGTGACTACTCGTGATATGAACACTCGACTTATGAGCGACATGATCGATTTCTTCTACGACTTGTTTCAGCTGTTGAGAAATCTCCAAAAGCGGCGTTTCTTTCAAAACCGTTGAAAATGCTTCCGCTAGTTGGGAACCAGCCCCACAGAAACCTTTTGTAGCGTCTAAATAACCAGTTATCAGTTTGTCTATCGCCCCGACATTCGTCTCAAGAGCTTCGACGTTGGCAAGCAGTCTCTGATGATACGTAACACTTGCGTCGCCCTTACTTTCCTTCCATTGATGATAAGATAAATAGCGTACGCTGTCCATATTTCAGACTAAAAACAGCTTGGCAAAAACAAAACATGAGTATATGACGACAAAGCAGAATCGGAAGCTCACAGTTTCATCCGATCGTAACGTTGGCGTTCAACTGAATTCTTACTTCCGATAAACGTCTGAGCGATTACGAACACGCGAGGTTTCAGCGGAGTGATAGCGCCGCATGCGTACCGATTCTTTCTTCCAAAAGAAGTATGGAGGTATCTACAGAAGCCAAAGCGTGGTGTATCCAAGAATTGTTGAAAATAAGAGACGTGGACGACGATGTGACGGGATATATTTTGTCACTGAATACTGCTAGTGAATTAGAGTCATATCTGCGAAATTTTCTGGATCTGAAGAATCGCGAACATTAGCAAATTTTGGTGGAATTTTCCAATGTAGTGAGGACCGAAACTACCTCAGATGCAAGTGGTACTTTTTCGTACTCCCAAAAATGCTCAGGTGAACACGGTAACGGTTTAACTGATCCACCCATTTATCCGGGAATAGAAACAAAGAAGAAATCTCCAAAGTTTGTGTCACTGTATGGGGCAGAGGGACAAGCGCGCACTTCGGTTCTTCTTCCCGGAAGACACCCCTGCGAGTGCTTGGCTCAGAAACACGCTCTGGTCAATAACTGCACAGAATGTGGACGAATTATTTGTAAACAGGAAGGTTCGGGACCTTGCTTTTTCTGTGGAGCTTTGGTTTGCACTAAAGAAGAGCAAGAGATACTGGCGCGGAAATCAAAAAAGAGTCACAAACTCCATGAGAAACTACTGAAGCAGGGGATAGAGCATGACTCTGGTTCAAAATTAGGGGAAGGTCTACAAAAAGCAATTGCTCATAAGAACAGACTCATAGAGTATGACAAGAGTGGTGTCCGGCGTACAAAAGTGATTGATGATGAGTGTGATTACTTTGCTAGTGACACCAATAAGTGGCTGTCTAAAAAGGAGAGGGATGCTTTAAAGAAGAAGGAAGATGAACTGCGAGAAAAGCGTTATGGTTCACACAGGAAGATGAAGGTTACACTGGACTTTGCAGGTCGAAAGGTTGTTGACGAGAGTGAACCTGAGGTAAATTTTGACCCTGATTCAGCTGTTCTTGCTCCAGGTTATTATAATGTGGATAAAAATCCCAAACCACAAAGAGTTGCCAATCTTAACTGCCCAAATATCTCTTCTTTAAAGTTTGTTTCTTCTGAGAAAGGAGGCGAGAAAGAGCGAAATTACAAGGATGTTGCAGAGAAAAAGCGAAGTAAAGAAGTTCTGCGTATCCAGGATAAGGAATTCCAAGAGATGAGTGATACAGGTGCTTGCCTAAGTATGCATCAGCCTTGGGCATCACTCCTTGTGTTGGGTATCAAGAGAGTAGAAGGGCGCTCCTGGTACAGTGCTCACCGTGGACGCCTATGGATTGCAGCAGCTGCTAAACAGCCAACTCAACAGGAAATCACAGCAGTAGAAGAAGTGTACAAGACTCTGTATGGGAGTGAAAATGTTGTATTCCCTCAGCAATATCCTGTCTCATGTCTACTTGGATGCATAGACCTTGTGGAATGTCTTGCCCAGGAAGATTACAAGGAACAGTTCTCAGAAGGCGAGTCTGAATCTCCTTATGTGTTTATCTGTGAGAATCCTCAGCAGCTGGCTTTGAAATTTCCTGTAAAGGGACAGCATAAAATATGGAAACTTGATCCTGCAATCCATAAGGCAGCCAAGGGAGGTCTCAGGAAAGCAGCATGAAGAAATATCTGCCAAAGTCCTCATCATAATCTAGATGCAATTAATGTTTTGAACCTAGAACTGATAGGTTAATGGTGTATAATTGAGGATATTCCTAAAGAACACTTCTGTCAGTAACAGTAACAAATTGAAAACTGAAGGGGAAGTCATTATCAGAGTCAAGATATGACACTAGTGATGACATCCTAAAAAGTCACCTTGACTCCCATTATGATTTTCAATCAGGTTGTTAATTTAATGTCATTCACTGTTACCTACAGTGTACATAGTCCTTTCCAGGACTACTCTCACTCAGATGATTAGACTACACAACTGAAAGTAGTTTGTTTCAGAGTTTATGGTCATACCTACATCAGGTTTAGGGTCAACAAAAACTGATCAAAGTTACTGGTATCATATCAGACCAAAGACTACTATATTAACGATCAAACTTACGGGTTATTTATTATTGCTTTGTCACTTGACTTGTTTTGTGTCTAATGGATGTCCAAGATGAAGTTAAGGGCATTTGAGTTTACCATATATTTCGATTAGTTTCCCCTTTTTCCTTCCTATTTGATCATTTGAATTTTTCTATTTGGGAACCTCAGCTTAAATTTTGATTACTCAATGGGTACCCTGCTGGTAATCTAAAAGCTATTGAAAGTATGGTGTCAGGGCTCGACACTAACTTTTCAACTTACTAGCCTAGTAGCTAGAGACATCTTAGATGTTAAGACAATTTACGTTTAATTAGCCAAACTGGCTCGGGGAAATTGAAGACCACAAGCCAAAACTGAATTTCTATTAGTCTGTGGCAGATGGGCTACCGTTAGTGTTGAGCCCTGGGTGTTGAAGAGAAATAGAAGCCTTAGTGTATCCAGTTGTTCAAAGGGAAGCTAGCTTTACATGTAGTTGTAGCTGAAGATTAAAATGTTTCTTTATTTTGATTGAGTGGATTCATGTACATCAAATTAAAAAAATATATTTATTGAATCATTTCATGGATTTGTTAGCACCTTGTTACCATTAGATACCAATTAAATCAATCAAAAATATTTCCTGTTTAAAGAATTATAATAATGAAAAGGATGTCTGAAGAATGTTTACTGGTAAATTACTGTATCTTTTTTTGCATGAAGAGGGTTACACATTTTCCAAAAGCATTGAACAAAGAAATGTTTGTCCCACAAGGGAAGCTCACAAGGGAAGCTCACAAAGGAAGCTCACAAGGGAAGCTCAGAGCTTGCAATTTCTAGGGAGGAAAGAGAAATTCCCACTTATTTGCCCCTTCCTCAAACTGCAAATTTGAAATTTGCTAAAATCTGGAAGACACGTGACCAGCCTAAACCAGGGTCTCTCCTCGCTTGCTCCAGGGGGCAGGAAGATGAGAGACCCTGGGAACAAAGTTGGGAGGAATCAGACTTCTTTTCTGACTCACATTTATTAAAAATGTTTGAAAAACCTTACTTTTTTCCACAATCAAGCCCAAAGATTACCACAGTGACCTTTATTATCCATAAATACTTGAGTCATGAGTACATATGCATGTACTTTTCTTAAAGGTGGATTTTCTATGTGTTGCATGGTTGCCCAAGAATGATGGATCAATGATATGTTCATCTACACATCTTAAAAAGAATAGCTTTGTAGGGAAAATATCTCAAAATTCTTTACTGGAGTGTCACTACCCTTTGGAGAAGTGAAAAATTTTCAATACATATCCACTTGTCAATTAAGTTTGCCTTTGGTTAGGTTCTCTAACAGGAAGTTGTCCCAACCAAATAGGTCAGGATGTTTACAACCTTTTCTTAAGGCTTGAATTCGTGACACTCTGGCATTTAATTTGGCATACAATTTTTGAGGTCTACTGTGACTGGCAGATAATACATTAACAGACTTAACAAGTCTTTTAGGCCTTTGTTACCAATAATTATTGTATTGGATGGAATTTAGGGAGAATCTTGGAGAAGAACCACTAGCCGGTGCAAGTACTTCTGGCCCATGCCCCTCCCCTCCCACACCTAGAAATAGTATCCAAGTCTACAGTCTGCTTAAATATTTTCGCCAAGATAGAGGTTCAAGTCATTTAAGTCTTAAAGTTTACCAGTAAGTGCAAAAGAAAGAAAAAGAAGCTTGCGCATTTAAATTTGATGAAACACCCGGTGCCATGTAAAATTATCGAAAAAAGTGGAGAGATTCACGGAAATCTGAGAAAAAGAAAAAAAAACCACTGGTAACACGTTTCCACTTATTACACCTTTATTACACATGAAAAGTCTGCCGACGAAGGCAATCACGAAGCGAGAAAAACACCCTATAGGTAGATCTACCATCTTGAAACAATACACGTATCTACATTTATGTCTACTCTCTTTCGAAGCCATTCTTAGCGATGCCACGCAATACCGACGCCCCTTGAGGGATAACGACGATGTGGACAATTAACTACGGATCGACATATTTTACGCTTGCCAAATTCAATTAACTGGAAGAATGGGCTTTGCGGGATTATATCAGTTACTACAATGGGCGGATATGGTTAGCATTAAAAAGTTGCCGCTCTGAGTTACTTATTTGAATAAGTCTCAAATTACAAATATAGCACTTGATCCGAAAGGGCTGCCCTTCAAGGCCATACAGGTTTACAATTACAGCCTGTTCTTTTCACAGGACAGATCTCTTCGGCATTGCTTTTCTTTTCTCAGTTTAGATCTTGTGATGTTAATATAATACAAATTTTAAATTTGTTAGAAAGCTCATGTATATCAGCTGTGTGTATACAAACAGAGGTCATGAGTTTAACTACCAGGTTTCAACTTCCGTACAGGCCTCAATATTTTCAGGCTTTATTTTCACCACTGTAGAGTTCATTTACTGCAAAGATCGCTCACATATTGTTACTAATCCGCAGTTCTCATATGCGATTTTCATATATTCACAGTCATTTGTGTGTATACTGTTGAAAGTGAAAGTGAATGATTCGATACCTTAATAGCAGCATAGGCTGAATTGCTAAGGTCTACAGTGTTACTAAGGTTGACATCGGACGTCAGCATTATCAAGCGCCTCTGGCAGCCGCTTTAGTCGATGTAACGACCTCACCTTTTCCCCCCCACAAATCTCACCCCAGGGGAGGACATCCATCACACAGTAATTTCGTGTGTGGGAAATTAACGTCTCCTACCCCGAACCCTGCAGGAGACCGGACCTCCATTTATTCGTCCTTATCCGAGAAGACTAGAATATCTATCCATTTCATTGATGTTATAGAAAGGTAGCAAATTCTCCTCAGTTATTTTAGGACCATGAATATTAATCCGGCCGGGGCTCGAACCCTCGACCTCCCGCACAACACAATCCGGCGCTCTAACCAATTGAGCTAACCAGGAGGCGGTTGATTATGGCCGTTCACAACCAAACGTGCATGCAAGGCGG